GTAAAAGGCTCTTATATTTAGTATTATCTTGCTTTTAGGTGTTTACATAATTTATGTAATTGACATTTACATCTAGCTTTAAAGTGTACAAAGTGTGGAGGCAGCATTTCCCTTCTTTTATAGAATAAGAAACTAAGGCATAGGGAAGTGAAGTGGCTTGCCCAGGGTCACAGAGCTAATCAAACACTGTTATAGGAAGTATTCAAACCTGAGTCTTCCTGACTCCAACTTCAGCCCCATACTCCTCCAAGGATGGGAAAGTGAATGCTTAAGTGAAGATAGCCCAAGATAGGCCAGTCTTGCAGCAGAACCAAAGGGAGAAGGCAGGCAACTATCAGACAGCTCAGGCCAGTTGAGGCCATTGAAAAATCTGGGATTGCAAAAAGAAATCAGTTTTGTGCTTTTTTTCCCTCCTTCAAACTTTTGTTTTTTTAAATCTTGAAAGTAGCAGTGAATGGAATTGTCCGTGATGTAGAAGTGCTTGGAGAAGGCATCCGGCTAGTCACTCTGCTGGTCAACAGTCATGGGCTGTACAAGACAAACCGCCTCTATGTCACCCCCGACGGCTTCTTCTTCCAAGTTCATGTGCTGGTATTGGATTCCTCCAGCTGCAATAAGCCATATGCAGATTTTAAATTTGGTAATGAGGCTCCCCTAAAGGTGACTTTGTGTATATGTATGCCTTACTTCATACCACATTTTAATATTCTGAAAGGGAGAAACTTCAGAATCTTCTTTTCTGAGAGACATGGTTGATGCAGGAATTCCCTTTCCCTAAACCCACATGTAGAACTTAGAGGGTTGCCACAGAGAGACTTGGTGACTTTCCAGGGGTCACACAGCTTCTAAGTTGTCAAGAGTTGGATTTGAACAGCCACATCTCCTGACTCCAAGTACTACAGGCTATTGACAACTCCATGTTTTCTCCCCTACTTTTTTGTTACTAAAAATGGGCAGGATCTTCATAAAATGTAATATACTTGAGATAATGTTCAATTTAAAGCCCATCCATACAGATGTTTCTTTTTCACTTCTGGGATGGGCAATCTAGAAACAATCCCACCATTAAAAAAAACTTTTTATTTTTATTTTTTTGAATAATATTTCCCCAATTACATGTGTAACATTTTTTATCATTCTTTTTTTTAAATTTTAAGTTCTAAATTCTCTCCTTTCCTCCTTTCCCTCCCCCTTCCCTGAGATGGTAAGCACTTTGAAATAGGTTATATACCTACAAACATGCAAAACATATTTCCATATTAGTCATGTTGTGAAAGAAGACACAGACCAAAGAAAAAAAACATGAAAAAAATAAAATGAAAAATAGTATGTTTTGATGTGCATTCAGACAACATCAGTTCTTTCTTTGGAGGTGGATAGCATTTTTTCATCACAACTCCTTTGGAATCATCTTGTATCATTGTACTGCTGAGAATAGCTAAGTCGTTCACAGTTGATCATTGCAAAATATTGCTATTACTGTGTACAATAGTCTCTTGGTTCTTCTCACTTCACTATGCATCAGTTCATGTAAGTCTTTCCAGGAAAAAACACCATCGTTGGCAAAAGGAAAATATATTGGGATGGGTTCAGAAGAGAATCTGACTGATAGAGTAGAAATCAATCACGTTATTAGCTTCTTTTACAACATTCTCTTCTCTTCCCCACAATCATTCACTCAGGTGACATCTGGCCTGACTCATTTATATTCTGGTTCTTTTTCAGGCAGCAGGCATATAGTAATGGCTCACATCTACCACAGGAGAAGGCTTTGCTACAGGTGTTACAAGGGCACCTAAAGCCTGGAGATGGAATGCTCAGGAGCAGCAGCAGTTATGTGAAAAGATTTAACTGCAAAAGGGGTGAGAAAATACAAAGGGCAGCTCATACCAAGTGCATCTGAATCCCTTTCCCAAGCTTTCCAGAGACCTTGGCTCTTTTGGGATTCAGTGACTTGAAGGGCATCTGCCTTCATTCAGCCTAGCCTTTCACTAGACTGGGCCCCAGAGCTTCCCTGGGAACCCTTTGAGCTCAGCCCTCATAAGCCAATCTAGGATTCCTTCCAGGCCTGCTAATGCTGAGGATGTTGTTGTTTCTGAATATATTAAATGCTTCTAAATTTTTCTAAGTCCAATTGCAGGTATTCAAATATAGTACAAGGTTGTGATTCACAGATCTGTGATAATTGACCTGTTTGATCCATAATAATTGGATAATTGATAATTGGCCTGTTTGATTCATATTCATAGATACTTGGCCTGTTTGATTCATAATCACTTTATTTTTAGCATTAATTATTTTAATTTTTTTTACTATGTGTTCTGCTGCTTTAAATTAAACATTATGATTTTCTAGGAAAGATAATTCACAGAAAATATTTTCTTTTTATTGAACTCATTGAATATTTTCTTTTTATTGAAGTTCATATATTTCGTGGCATAATTTATCTAAATCATTAACATCACTTAACAATATTTTTTTTGGAGAGTGGCCATTCCCCAATATTTTCATCTGTATGGGAAGCTCCCAAAGTGGGGAAACTTCTGCTAGTTTTGACTGATGGGCAGTTCTATTGTCTTAGAGAGTTTTCTGGGGCATTGAGAGGTTGAGTAATTTAGTCATTATCACAAAGGAAATTTTTTCAGAGGCAGGACTGGATTCTAGTTCTTTCTGACTCCAAGGCTGACCCTCTTCACCATCCTGCCTCTTTAGCATTAAATATACTAGACAAAAAATTAAATGTGAAACTTCTTTTATATTCTGCAGGTCCCCAAATCAAATAATCAGTCAAATATATCTTAATCGCCTACCATATGCCATGTACTGTGCTAGGCTCTGGGAAGATAAGTATACAGAATTCATTGCTTAGGATAAGTATTTAAACTTCTTTGTTTTTTTTTTGTTACCTACAAACATGCCATCTCATCCCAAACGCCATACTTAATCTTGTCATCTTTTACAAACTAACATCCTATATCTTGCTTCCTTTTCTCACTTTCATAGCAAAACACCTAGAAAAAGCCATCTACATTCATTACTTTCACTTCCTCTTCTCCTACTCACTTTTCAGATCTTAAAATTTGGCTTCTGATCCTGCCACTTGACTGAAACAGCCTTCTTCAAGGTAACTAATAATCTAAATTGCTAAATCCAATTTTTTTTTCTAAGTCCATATCCTTGACTAATCATCTGTAGCTTTTGACACTGTTGATCATTTCTCCTACTGGATATACATTTTCTCTTGGCTTTTGTGACACTTATCTCTCCCAGTATTCTTCCTGTCCGACTAATCTTTCCTCAGTCTCCTTTGCTGAATTATTTGTAGGGTCCCTTAAACAATATGCTGCAATTTATTTCATAGCATCTATACATATCTATTGGGATACATACATACATACATATGTATTTACATAAAAATATATTGTTTCCCCCACAGAATGTAAGCTCCTTGAGGGCAGGGACTGGTTTCACTTTTGACTTCATATCCCCAGCTCCTAACACAGTATCTGGTACATAGTAGGTACTTAGTAAAGGCTTATTGATGAATTGATTGTCTGGTTTGTGGTTTCTAAGACCTTTTTTATGATGTGTATAAGGATATGTTTGGTTCTTAGGACTTGGTGACTGCATGTGCCATCTTCCCTCTGAGGAATGTAAATCAACTGATATTGCTGGCCAGGAAAAAAATATATATATATACACATACATATATGTATATACACACACCAACACCTACCCATATATATATATATATATATGTATATATACACCACACCTACCCACACCTACCCACATATACACACACACACACACACTCACACACTCACACATTTATACAGTTGTCAATAAACATTTATTAAGCACCAACTATGTACCAGGCAATGTGCTAAGTACTGGGGATATAAAAAGAGGCAAAAGACAGTCCCTGCCCTCAAGGAGCTCACAATCTGATGGGGAAGACAAAAAATAAACAAACATGTAGGAATACACTATATACAAGATAATTAGGAAATGATGAACAGAGAGAAGGCACTAGAATTAACAGGTATTGGGAACTGAGGCCTTTCTTCTTGTGTTAGGATTTTTGTGTTTTTGAAGGTTATTCCCCTCTCCCTTACAGAATCTGAGTTAGATTTCGCAAGTAGAATCCCAAAGGGATAAAGCCATGAGCATCAACATCAGAGACACTTTGATTCTCACTTGAGTGGCTCAAGGTCACTCTCATAGCACTCCTACTGGACTTCCTAGGAAGGGGAAAGAAGGGAAGGCAATAAAGCATTTATATAGTACCTGAGAGGGGCATTTTATAAATTTTATTAGATTTTATAAATATTATCTCATTTTAACCTCACAACAATCCTACAAAGCAGGGGAAACTAAAGGAAAACTTCTGAATTATTGAGGAAACTGAAGCAAACAGAAGTTAAGTGACTTGCCCAGGGTCACACAGCTAGTACGTATCTGAGGCTGGATTTGAACTCAGGTCTTTTCTGACTGAAGGCCCAGCACTCCATGCCATTTAATTTCTTCCTCGATTATAACCCTAGACCAGCAGAAGCTTCCCCCTGTTTTCCCTGTTATATAACTTCATAGAAGTGTCCATCTGGGCCCAAACACACCCATGACACCTGGAACTACGGATAAGAGCCTCCATATCCCTCTTGAAGTTGACCTAGAGCAGAATGGGAAACATTCCATTCTCATGCTCTCACCCTCCTCAACCAGTAACTGTGCTCAATGATCCCAAAACACAGATAAGGAACTAGAGGTAATAGATGCTTCCCACCAATCTCTATCACAGACTGGACTTTTTCCATCAAAAGAAGAAAGCTGGAAAACAATGTTGGCAGCCACCATTCCACCACCCCAGTATGGATGGAGATTTGGAAGACCTCCTGAGGCCTATAGTACAGCTCACCATGCAGTATATTCTTTAATAAATCTTATTTGGACACAAAAGTATTGTGTGGAATTTTTTTTTCCTATTCCCTTCACTAGTGCCAATGCACTGCCTAATCAGTCATCATGATAGGTCTTTGGTGCCAAATATAGAAAATTAAATGAGTGAAGTCCCAGATTCAGATAGTCATCCACGTCTGCAACCACAGCAAGAGTGAAACCAAGTCTGGGTCTCTCTTTTCTCCTTTGTCTTGGTGAGCTGAGCTTCCAGGGCTTCATTCATATTGGTGACTCCTAAATATGTGTGGGTGTATGTATATGTATGTTTTTATGTGTGTGTGTGTATACACACACATACATATACATACATATATATAACGTAACCAAAATCTTAGTGCAGCATTAATCTTTAATAACTTCATGAATATAAGTATTTGTTGTTCAGTCATATCTGACTCATCATCCCATTTAAGGCTTTCTTGGGCAAAAATACTGGAGTGGTTTGCCATTTTCTTCTCCAGCTCATTTTACAGATGAGGAAACTGAGGCAAACAGGGTTAAGTGACCTACCCATGGTGACACAGCTAGTAAGTGTCTGAGGCCACATTTGAACTCAGGAAGAGGAGTCTTCCTGACTCCAGGCCCGGCACTCTATCTATTGCGCCACCTAGCCGCCCTAACTATGCTACAAACTTACAGAAAACATTTAAAAGATTATTTTAAAATATCAATGTTTCTTGTCATGTTCAACTTGTGCTCCACATCACTACTGCCAATTTTCGAATTTTGTAAAACTTTGATCACTTGTTCAGTGACTGAAAAGATTGCATTTGTAAACTTAGTTTTAAGGTCATTTAAAGAAAAAGGTTTTGTTGCATACGTGACAGTTTTGATGTGAGTCCACAAGAAAATGTCTACTGGAGATAGATGAGATAACCAAGTTGGCCAAGCAAAAAGATTTCCTCTAACAATCTACTGGTCTGAGAAAATGTCATCCAGAAATTGTTTCACATGCTTGACAATTCCACATAATGACAAGGTGCTCTGTCTTAAGAATTTTTTAAAAAAATTATTCAAAATTCACAAAAGTATATAAATGTAAACAAATTTTAAATATTCTTTTGGAAAGTTTGTTGCTGTTATGTTTCTGAAGTTTAAAGATTAAAACTGCACCAGGACTTTTGGGACAACACACACACACACACACATATACATACTTCCAACCTTCTCTCTCCTGAATACCCATTTCACATCACTAATTACCTATAAGTCCCATTGAGATTTCAAACTCTACATTTCTAAACCAGAATTCATTACCTTTTCCCCATATCCATGTCTTCCAAATTTTCTTATTTTCTTTTTCTTTTGGTGAGGCAATAGGGGTTAAGTGACTTGCCCAGGGTCACACAGCTAGTATTTGTCATGTGTCTGAGGCCGGATTTGAACTCAGGTCCTCCTGACTCCAGAGCTGGTGCTCTATCCACTGTGCCACCTAGCTGCTCCCAAACTTTCTTTCTTTCTTTTTTTTTAAGGCAATTAGGGTTAAGTGACTTGCCTAAGGTCACACAGCTAGTAAGTGTCAGGTGTTTGGTCTGAGGCCAGATTTGAACTCAGGTCCTCCTCACTTCAGAGCCGGTGTTCTATCCACTGCGCCATCTAGCTGCCCCAAAACTTTCTTATTTTGTTGAAAAAGTGTCACCATCCCTTCTAATTACCCAGATTCACAACTTGGGAGTCATCCTTGACAATTTCTTCTTCCTCATGCTCCATGTCTAATTAGTTGGCAAGTCTTATTTTACTTCTTCAACATCTCTTGCTTTCATCTCCATAGTCAACACCCTAATTTAGGCCCTCATCACCTTGTCTGGACCTTCCAACTCATTTTCTTACTCCTAGTCTTTCTCTGCTAATCCATTCTTTGAATAGCTGCTAAAATTATCTCCCTAAATCACAACTCTGACTACACCATTCCCTTCCATACTCAAGAATCTTCAGTGGCTTATT